ATTCTACGGATTACCGCGAAAAGTTTGGAAAATTATGGATGGCCCTAATTTTTTGGCCAAGAACTGTAAGTAGTCTACCTGTCCGTTGCAAAGCCATCATAAGCGTCCCATCTAGGAACGGCCGGGATTCTAAGTAAGTAGTACCGCATCTAGTCTTTGAAGTATTGTCTAGTGGCGCACTTCGGTTGCTTCTGGAAGTATTGGCGATGTCTTGATAACACGATCAAACCTAGCTCTATCAGGAGACACCGGTCCTCGCGTACTCCATTACCACGGGGTTAATCACGTTAGCGCGTGCCGCATCCGTTGCGTCCCGTTTAGTATTAACGTACTAGTGGATACACAACACTGAGTTTTACTGATGCGTCTGTCGGTCGTCAATAATAATTAACGTTATTTAACATTTGTCATTCGCAATTTATGGCTAATTACGTTTTTTTGGGGTTGTTCAGTTTTGGAGACTTTTTACTTATGTAACTTTCAAGGACAGAGACCGTGAACGCGCCATTCCTTTTTTTCGTAATTTTAAAAGAGAGCAGCAATAATTTTCCATTTTTAATGGTAGATAATTAGGATGAAAAGTAAACCATTTTTCAAGTAAAAAATTTAGAGATATAGAAGACCTGTTTTCTGCCCGTCTCTTTGAAGGTTAAAAGAGATATTGTGTATAATTTTTATATAGAGCAACGTGTTTTCCATAGAAAATATTTTTTTTGTAGCAACGTTAACCGATTTTAATGAAATTCTCAACATGTATATAAGTAACATAAATCTTCGATATGTATTTATTAAATTTTCATTATAGTTTCAGATTAAAAAGTTGTAAAAAACAACCTTTACTATTTTTTTCGCGATTCCGACCAACTGCAATTTTTTCAATTTTTTTTACACATCATTTAGTAAACTAACGTCCCTAACTTCACAAAAGAACTGAAGTCATTTGGACCAATTGTAAAAAAGTTGTTCTGTTTTAAAGGTTGTACGAACACTTTTGTCCGGTACTGAATGTATATCTTTTCTGAGACGAAATATCGTTATCTTTTTTAGTCCACCATATTATAAACATTAGACCCTGATCACAATATATTGACTTATGTAAAAGTTAAAAAAATATATTAAAGTGTGGTCATTGAATAATGGCATTGATTTATCAATTTCATTATAACTTCATAGCGATATTCCATTAGAATAGAATATTTGATTAGAGGGGAAATCTATCAGGTAATGTAATCAACAGGGATAATCGATGACAATCGAATGCATTTTACATGCGATCACTACCAACATGGCATATCTTAGTTTCGATTTATATGTTAAATTATCAAATTACGGTTGCCTACGACCTTCAAATTGGAATCGAATCGACATGACAGACAATGGTATTGTGTATATCACCTTTTTAGAACTATCACCATTCTTTATAAATAAAAAATATGACCTAGTATACAAAAAAGTATCTAATTCAAATAGTTATTATCTAACAATAATAAAATCCATATCCTTCGTTCATTCAGACAGAAAATTCTAATGAAATTGAATACATAGAATTATTACGGTCAAGTTGTTATAATTTGTCCGCTACTGTATATGAACTCATCGGTAATTCAATTGAATCGTCTGATACTTCCGAACAATGAAATATATCGAGGACATAGGTTCAAATATAACGCCCAAAGGAGATTTATAAGAGTCCAATTACTCTCAGCATAAGTGTTTTCATCCGAGGCACAAGTAGTAATTCGTAAATTGCTCGTACGCTAGAAGCGAACTGATAGATATAATCTCATACTTTATGAAACGTCGAAGCTGCCGTTTATCCTATACCAGATATCTCTCCAATAGACAAGATTTATCGATCACGCTAGACTTCTCGAACTTACGAGCAAATAATTTCCACTTTCGCACAATAATCCGCTGGACATAAATTCAGGTGGAAAATTTCATTTGGTCCACGTCGAGACACCATAATAACACCTGAATTTTATTTCAGCTAGGACTAGTAACCCCTCTGAATCAGTGAATCACGTTTAAAGTGCTATTCATATTCGAAATTTATTGGTCCTTGACTTTCAAAATATACGCGTTAACGCTAGAACTACCAACCTTGAATATATACTAAATTAAATTACATAATGCATTAATACATGTAATATTACAGGTGAAAGATTTAAAGGTGAACATAAACACAATCCAATTCTTCAATTTTTGCTTTGTACGTCATATTCACTAAATCTTTCTCAAACAGATGTTCGTTTAATACCGAGTTCAATTTTTTCAGAGATTAACACAAATACTAAAGTGTCCTTTGTTTAGACTTTTTCGTTCAAAATAAACTTTTCATGTACACTACACCAATATTTTCCCAGTATTCTATAAATTTAATATTTATTTATAACTTACTTGGTTTCAACCGCTGAAATGTTTTATGTATTTTCTCCTGGCGATCGTGCACGAGACAGTTTCTTTGACTTTTCAAAATAAAAAGTCAAGCGTAAAATCCTAAAATGCGATTCGAAATTGATTATGGAATATAAATTTTCAGCACTGAACTTGCCCTTAAGAACGGACTACCACATCCACAGAATTGAATGTATAAAAAAAGGACTGTTTAGTGTGTGTTTAGTTGTTTGGTTTCGAGGAAACGAAAGGGACTGCGTCGCATTAATACGTTTTCGTGGAATCTGAGAACTCTGGCGAACCACCTACGCCTGGAATAAATTTCACGCCTGTCGGGAACGTAAAAACAATGAGGGCGCGGTTGAGGGTAGAAGTGGTGGTAGATAGTGTCGAAGAGGTGGTAGATAGTAAGAAATCACGAAGAAAGTCAGTTGGGATATCCCGTTGCGGTTAGAAAAACCCTTCCAATCTTGTTCGTTGAAACCGCGATCATTTCTTTCGCTCGTGATGTGTGCCCTACATTTCAATACCCAGAGGCAATACCAAGTAGTGTAACAAGTTGATTTCAAGTAGATCTGTTATCCAGGTAATGTTGTATAAATGTAATAATGTATAAATGAATTTTATTAGGTGCACCAATAAGACATGTGCTATTTGGGTAGTATCCTATGTTTCTCGAACAAAACAGACATCCTAATACTCATAAAGAGGAATGTCCATCCACCGTTCGCCAGAGAACCATGTAAATCCATGTACCCCTGAAGCTTTCTCGAAATTAAACGATAACTCCTCTTTGGAATTTCTGTTTCAGATCCGCTCGTTTCACCGGACCGCAGACCGTTCGCGAAGAAATTGCGAACGTGACGAAACGTACCGAGCTATGTAGCTACCGGTCGAACGAAAGGAAAAAGAATCCCACGCGATTCCGGGGCGCCGATTCCGATGAGGATTGTCGGAAGCGTCGAGGAAACGGCCGTGGCTACGAACAGAACTCGTTCTCGTCTACGTTCCGTACGGCGAATATCTGAAAATAATCTCCCGACGATCCCCAACATTCTGGTGAACCTGGCCGTCGAACATCTACCATAAAACGCGTCATTTTTATCTTGATACAAATTTTACTTCTCGTGATCCTCGTGAGAATCGATCATCCGAGTTTTCGTGATCACGAAGATGTTCTCCGACGATCACCGTTCATGACACGGATAAAAGTGCTTTTCGAGGGAAACCGAGTGGAACGGTAGCCACGAACTTTCTCGAACGGAGGACCAGATCCCTTTTAAACCCGCGGTGTGATCCACGAATTCCTAGGAGGTTTCCTTTATCTCCGACGAAAACCTCTTTCCCGACTCAATGTTTCGTGGAATCAATGGAAGAATCGCGGGAATTCTCGAAACAGCCGTGTCAAGTAAATTACAAAGTGAACCGCCTGAAGATCAGTCCTGAACCTCTAAGAAACGGACCACCCCACTGGGTGTCTTTGACTAAAGAGAAGGAAACCCTGGATGACGTTATCGTTCTTAGCAGGGTGGGTGAAAATTCTGGGCGAATGGAGGGGCGGGAGGGAAATGGTAACAGGCAGAAAGTGCTAGCCCCCGGGCGGAAGCCGAAGAAAAGTGGAGAAAGAAACGGAAGAACCAGTCGAACAGAGGCTCCGTCGTCGCGACAACAGTTCGTCGCCTTCGGTCGCTGGATCTCTTAAGTATTTCCGGGCGAACGAAACGAACAAAAGGAAAAACGAGATCTGGAATATAGCGAAAAGTTTCCCGATAAGTCGGGGGATAGGGGATACCTGTCGATCAAAGCCTGGAGAAAAAGAAGTCGGCCGCTGTAACTTGCCACGAATTCCGGGGAGGATTTCTTTAACAATACCCGGACGAAACTTTTCCTGGGGTAATTACCCATGGTACTCGAGATCTTAAAGAGCGTGAACACAATGGGAATGATGTTAGTTTCATTATACGGGAACGTGGTAGGAAAGCGCAGATAGATCGCCTGGATTTTACGGCTGGATAAAACTCTTCGGGGAGGCTAATCAGGGAACGCTTTGTGTACAGACGGTGGGAAAAGTCGATGTTAAGAATTGTTCGAAATTCATCGGGAGCTGAGAATAATTATACTAACGACAGAATTTCTGTGTCTGATGTTGGCGCTGTTGTGTCATGAAATGTGTATACAATGTTTGAGGGATCTTGCATGGATTATGTGTCAAATTGTTTCTGTCACGAAAGTAATCAAACAGTTACCTCAGTTCTGAAACTCATTGCCGCCGATTGAACAAACGGACATACGGGACTGAAACTTGATAAATATATCAATATTGGTTATTTACAGTGAAACGAAAGAGAATTAAAAAGTCAAGTATTCGTAGTAAAAAATGAAATGTGAAATCAAAGGAAGTTATTAAAAACTATAAATCAGAGGTTAAATCAAAAGGTCGCGATGTTTAAAATTCGATATAAAGAAAGTACTGTAAGAATTATATTTTAAACTCTATTCGTAAGTATGATACAAGATCTATTGAAATTAGAATAATGAAGTTCCCAAAAAACTTTGTTCTCGAATTAACTCGTCACTCGTATTCAAGAGAGAATACCCCAAAAAGTCATAGCATACTAACTTAAATATCATCGGTGTAAGACATCAGTATATGTGAAAAAAAAATATAGTGAACTATATAAAATCTACCTGAAGAAATTACAAGCGATACACTGTTCCTAATTAGTGGAAAATAGGGAACATCAATAGAAGAGATGCAGTCTCTCGACTTTTTCGCGAACACCACGCCCGATCCATGGAACACCACGCTGTGGATCGAAAATTACACGTATTACAACACCACGGACATCCCCGATCTACAGTTGGGAAATCAGTTTATACTGCCATGGTGGCGACAAATGATCTGGACGTTGTTGTTCGCTGGCATGATCATCGTTGCGACCGGCGGCAATATGATAGTGATTTGGATTGTTCTCGCGCACAAGCGAATGCGCACCGTTACCAATTATTTTCTGGTGAATCTGAGCATAGCGGACGCGATGGTGTCCACATTGAACGTCACGTTCAATTACATCTACATGTTGAACAGCCACTGGCCCTTTGGCACCCTCTATTGCAAGATCTGCCAGTTCGTCGCGGTGCTCACTATATGCGCCAGCGTCTTCACCCTAATGGCGATTTCTATTGACAGGTAAGCGTCCCATTCAATGTATGGCACACGAATACTTGCGTACCTTTTATTACTATGTTTTCTACACTAATATAATTCTAATTATTGTTTTATCGGTTCGGGTAGTTTCGTCCACTTCGTATCGTGTCGCTTTGATCGTGTTGTTTTTGTTGTGTTTCGCACGTGCCGTAAACACAGGCCTTTTGTCTCTGTTATTTTCTAAACTATTTGAAATACGAGAAAACTGTTTACATAAAATTGAATTGCACGAGAGGTATTCAAGGACTTAATATTTTACGAACTGTTCGTATTACATCGGTTACAATGGGACACGTTTCTCGATGGAGCAGCACCAAATCGGCCAATCATTTTGAATGGCTGGCTGGTATTGAAAGTGCGATATATCGAAGAATTACGCTTCAACGCCTCGCGGGGAAGATCGTCGATGTTGCCTCGTACCCGCTTGCCTGTGACACTCCCGATAAATGATAATGTGCGTTATCGAACTCGTAACAGAATCTCTGGTTCGAGTATACCTCCCATAGAATTTCAAAGTCTCAGTCATGAAGGAATTTACCATATTTTTGCCGTCGTAACAAACTGCAAATGAATACATATAAAGAAAGGACTAAAAGAAAACTGAATGAAATATATTCAACGGATTACGTATGTTGTTTTCCAACGAATCACACATGAATCTGTCTAATTATTTACAAGGAATTACCATTTTTTAATATAATAGTATAAATTAGAGAAACCGAAGCAAATCCCTGAATCAGCATTACACACCACGAACACTACAAGATTGACTTCATAATTTGAAAATGTTCTAATAAATTGAGCATTCAAGACACCTTTAATTTCTATTTACTTCGAAAGTATAGCAAATTTTTCTCTGTAATATTGAAACACACTTGTCTGTAATTGTGGTCCACTTTTAGACTATTGAATAACAAAGAATAGTGTGAGATTATTCTCATTATAGCCGTCTTGAAAATTTATATTAAGCGTTTATACTAATGAATAAACCACTATTTCTTTAATAGTACAACAATATGCACGAAATTCGAAGTATATATATGAGCAATTCATAAAGAATAAATGTACGATTACATCATAGAAGTTACAAACAAGCAAAATTTCAAAACTGTTTATATTCCAAAAATCAAATTATGACAATTATAAACACGAAGAATTTAATAGAATACAAACTCTGTTGTCATACCAGGAAGAATTTCGAAATATTAAAACATCAGTCAACACGATCCTTTACGTCAGTTATTCTTCTAGAAGTGAATGTTCCGACGGTTTCTCCGGTGAAGCTTATTTCCGAACTTAACAAAACCTTTACTAAAAGCAAGAAATCCCCGACATAATTTCAATTCAGTAAATTAACCTCTAAAAATTTGAATTTACATAAAGGTTCTCAGTCCACTAATTACTTACGGGATGACCTAATACTGGCCAATACTCTCAGGTATGCAACCGACAATTCAGTCGCTATGCGGTTGTCCCCTGTCCTGTACGAGGATAAATAAACAACAGAATATGAAGATCCGCGTAAATCGAAATTCAGATGCGAGCATAAACCACAAAGCGAATTTTAATCAAAATGCCTATGGTGCTATTTCCCGACAATTGGAGAACCGATTAAAATTCCGATGCTACTGTCAGTGCCGACAGTCCGATCGATTCGAGAAAACATCCCGACAGCAAAGGGAGAGTGCAGCGCGTGAATCTTGACTTCAATACCAATCCGGAACTCAATCGCAATGTGAAACGCAACTATTTCAAACAGCATCAGAGCTTTGCAATTTAGCAGTTTCTGACAGATATAATCTTCTAATTGTAAATAGAATATTTACGTTCAGAACAGGGAAAAGTATGTGTACTTTGTATTGCTTGTTCTTTGAGCCACGATAAAAAAGTGCTAGTGTAAAATAAAATAGCATCAGATTCACATTTACTAAAGATTAACTGTTTGTAATTTCGATTCTGCTCGGTTATAACAAAAATTATACGGCGTGCATACCTCATTTATCTCTATGGAAAGAGTAAAGAATTACTTTTAATGTCAACAAACATTCGTTTGGTACATCTTGCTTTCGGGACTGCTCTGAACATTTCTTTCCTTTTATTTTATTTTTAGGATCCGTATTTTTTACTACCTTTATTGGATTTTTATTTTTGTTGAATATCTTTCTTTCATTACATTCGTAACTATTAGAATTATTGGCCGCGATGATAATTAATTTTTAATTACATTTCCTGTTTAAAAGATCATCTAATATTTAAATTTCTTGCTATTTTCAGTTTTATCCGGCTGTATTCAGAATACACTTGAATATTTCTGGCTTCTCACGCACTGTTTCTACTTCAAAAAAGAAATGTCTGACTTATTATCCACCATTTCTACTTGCAATGGATACAGACGCTTGGTGTACCTCATTATCTATTTTATAGCAATCGCATTACCTTTTAAGTGACAATTTCTATGAACGAAAGTCAAAGATTTTAAGAATGTTTTGTTAAATTTTCAACTAAATTTATAATTATTAAAAGTTTGCGGGAACCACCTTAAAGGAAATACTGGTAAAACGAACGGAAGGAAACTGGTTTCACGAGAACAGAAAGGTCAAGGAAATTCGGAATTTCGATCACGCGAACCTGCGAAATATCGATGCCAAAATTACCAGAGAACTAAAACGAAAGCGGAACAAAGGGCGCCGATGCATCGAGTATCAAGGACGCTGGTCTAAGAAATCCGCCGGCTGGAACTGAATTGATCGGGATATCTTGTTTCTGGGGCGATGCATGCGCCTAGTTTGCAAGTGGCAGCGTGTGTGCTGTTCCCCGAAGGGTCGCGTCCAAAAGGTATCAGAAAGTTCCCGGACAATTCAGGTCAAGATATCACCGTATGTTGACGCGATGAGTTGTGAGAAACAGTCGGTCTTGAAACTTCTGTAGATCGGACGTGTGCCGCATATGTAGTACATGTAATAAGATTCCGAGTATCGAAGGCGAAATGGAAAAGGAAGACCGAGTAACACGGAGAAATTCACGAATTGATGAAAAGTAAACGGTATAAATGACGAAGAAATAAGGAATATATTTGAATTTATAGAAAAATAAACTTTTTAAGCGGTCGAGCTAGTGAAATGATCCGAAGAAAAGCGTATCTTTGCGAATTATTTGCGCAGAACTGAATCAACCGAATGTTTTGAAACTTTGTGTATTAGGTTATGGCACGGTTAAACTATTAATTAACATTTTTATTTCTTCATTTTCGACTTAACATGCCCCCAAACCCAAGTCTGCAAAAAAAGTCGCAATTGGCGTGCATGATGAAAAAGAAACAAATATTTCGATAAATTGTGTGCTTGTAGTTGGAGGATGGACCTACTTTCAAAATTCTAGAATGAAAATTGCAAGAGTAGTAACAATTTAACAAATAATATCGATAAAAGTATTGTGATCAAAGTTGAACGAAAAGGTACACGTAGAATATAAATAAACGGAACAAGATATAGTTGCGTCTTCGTAACTTCTCTTATACTGTGTAACATTTACAAAAGAAAGCTATTCAATTCCGTAAATAACAATAAAAACAATAGTGGTTTTTATGGAAGGATATAGTGGGTGATTAAATTATTATGAACAGATGGAGACATTATATATTTTATGTTTTCGGTGTCTTATAATTGAAATTACTTATCTATTTTCTTAGAATATCTTTAAATGAATAGGTTATACAGGGTACTGACCATAATTCATGATATAACTAGAAATGAAACGATCCCTCACATAAGAATAAATGAAAATCTCGAACCACCAGTTAGTACTGAAATAGCATTTTCAAGAGTGAAAAGCCAATTTACCATTAGAAGCATTTGTAACGTCATAGTACAGTTGTGACAGAATTGAATGAACGTAGTAAATCACGTTAAACGAGCATTTAATACACTCATTGCGTATAAATCTTTGACTGAACGGTGACTGATCGCGAAGAGTTATTAATCTCGTGGGTAAGGCACACAATTAATTACAAATTCTACCTGCTCGGAGCTTGACGAAGCTGTGTTCTCGACAGAGCGACTAGAATTGAACCATTTATCTTAAAGAGTGTATACTTGGTCTGCGTCCGACAGAGTTATTACAGTTCCGTGCTGTTGCTTTTGAATTATTTACACCAGGACATATTTCAATTTTAGTTAAACCGGAAACAAACAGTATAAAAAAAAAGACAAGTAAAAAATATTTCATTGTGCATGTAAGTTAAAATACTTTTTGATTGTTTTCCTGGTGAAAATCCATATGTAACAAGTATTGTCAATAGTTTACTTATATAGGTATGTATTTTATGTTATATCATTTTATATTTTATGTTCAGAATAGTTCTGTTTTATTTGCATGCATTTTTTATAATGCTCGATTAGATTTCAATAATATGTTTTTTTTTATAATCCCTACTACTGGTTTTACAATCACTAGTCAAAATCATGATATCTTCTTTCCCATAGAAGGAATCTGGTATATTGCTTCGCGTATACATACTTATCTCGATTGAAACCGCACCGAAGAAAAGCATCAGCCACAGACTTAAGCAATAAAATAACGATTCTCCGTTGAACGAAATGTAACAAGCGTGCAAACGATGAAGTGTGCGACCAGAAATTTGTGCTTCGAGAAAATGGAGTGGTCATCTGGATATTAGGAAATAGATTTCGCCAACCACCCTCGCCATTTTATCGCCCGGCAGCCCCCCCCCCACCCCCTCTATATCATTCTGCGGCAATTCCCATTTTTCGAGCGGTAAAACACGGTGAACACACAGGCGAATCGTGTGTGTCGTTGAACGCCGCTTCTTCTCCATGGAGGTTTTCCCCTGATTTTCTTTAGCACGTGGTTATAAACCATTTCCCGCGAAGAGTTTCTTAGAATTCAGAAATCGATTTTTCTTAGTAACACGTATTTTATTTCCAGGTACATGGCCATTGTGAACCCACTGAGGCCACGTATGGGCAGGAGAACTACACTCGGCGTGGCGATCGTCATTTGGATCGTGGGAGCTATACTCTCGCTGCCGATGCTGCTCTTCTACACCACTTACACGCAGAATTTCGCGAACGGCGAGGTCCGAGTCATCTGCTACAGCGAATTTCCCAACAGAGACGACGACGATCTCAATTACAACGAATATCTGTGAGCTTATCTTAACGATTATGCTATTTGTTCCGTAATTTATCATCAGTTCAGACTTCGGTCAACATTTCTGACAAGGAGAGGTCACAGTGGTTAGGTCGTTGATTTTAATGAAACTTTTTGCTCTAGATTCTTCAGATAAAGTTTCATTAAAATCAACCTAGATTAGATTTAATAGTGAGTTCAATGCACCAAGTGCTACAGATGAGCCTATGAATATTGTGGGGCTAGTAATACTGTCTTTATACATCCAAATTATCTTAAAAATATAGTAACTGCTTGCAATAAAATTTTCAGAAAGAAACTCCACAATTACATTACTACAATCATAGACCTTTCTGTCGCTAAGTACACACCATTCACCAGCTGTTATAATGTTATGATAAGCTAGAACTTACAGAAGAATAAACAAAATCAATATTTCACATTGATCTTCTTGCCTAATTCCGCCGCAGAATTTAATCACGGAAAATTTTTCCTCGTCAAAACAGATATATTATTTCGTATGAATAACCACGAAGAAAAATCTCGAGGCAAGGACATTTCGTGGAACGTCTGTTTTTACACCGTTCCGCAGCTCGAATCGTGTTTTTGTTTGCCAAATCGGGATAATGGAACCGACTATCTGGTCCAGATACGTAGCCAGCCACTTTCATTCGCCTAGGCAGTGGTGGCCAAGAAAAACCCCAAGAACAATAACCTTTCTTAATGTTCGTGTTAGCGCTGGTCGCTTTAAGAAACAATGTTACAGACATTGTGATGGCACCGTATCGAGTATTAAATTATATACCTAATAGAATATTAAAAGGCAATGATATAAGCATAGATTATCTTTTAATGAAGCTTCATCTACTCTCTTTCAAGGGTAACGAAACGACCAGCTATTTCTCGATTTAATGACTCCGAACGAATATTCTGCATGAAGCCCCATCGGCGTTCTACGCCGTTACCTTTAATTACGGGGCGGAACTGATAAAAGTGTGCTTTAGAGTCTCATTGTGCCTTCGTACAAAGCTGTAAGTGTCTTTTTAACCCAGTCACAAAAGTCCCTCCAAACTGAAATCCTTCAAGTATTATAGTTCTAAACGCTTCTACGCCGGAAGTTATTCTCTTCTCATCTACTTTCTATTACCTCTTGTGCCTTCTGGTTATACCTTAAATACATATATAGGCCTTTGAATGAAATATAAGCATAAGTTTAACACAGTGGTTAGACACCTTATTTATATAGGTATTTTAATTAATATCAGCATAATTGTCATACAGACAATTTCTAAGTCAGCATACTTTATCACATAAAAACAGACGGTGCTCTGTGATACATATTTACCTATATTTTGCGTTACTCATTATCTCTGTTTTGGGTCTTTTTAATACCTAATCAGGAAGATAGGAACATTTCAGTGAATAGAATAATAGAAAACAAAAAGATGATGGAAACGGAAGAAAGTATACTCTGTCACGTACGTTTTCGAAACAGTGTGATTATAGCGAACACGTTAATGATGCATTTAGCATTAACAATATACAAAATTTCCTATATCAGTATTATGAAAACACAAAAGTTTGTAGTCCCATTTTAACATTAGAATTACCAAGCAAGTCGAAATGACTTGTCAATACACTCTTACAACGACGTTTAAAATGTTATAACAATACATTTTCTCAGATCTTTTGCACCTTTTATTACGACATGAAAGTGAAGAAATTAGTCTAAAAAACTTTAGTATTCCTTTCTCAAGACGAAAGTTTTATTTTACTTACTTTCATGGTTACGATTAATGAATCGGATAATGTATCACGTTTAACAGTGTGCTACATGAAATATCTATGATATAATCTTGGACGTCGCTTCGCCTTGATTAAACTGCTAGACATTTTTCAGCTCGAATTACAATCCCGGTAGTATCGTCGTTTTAACAAGCTATCATTTTATTTGTCTCCTCTTCGTCCATTATCTATACAGTCATTCGTCCATTATGTATATTCAGTTGATTTATATGGAATCATAAAACACCTACCATAAAATGAAAATCTATTCTTTTTCTCTAATGTTTATATTCGAATTAATACATATAACTCATTTGATACATTTATCGATAAACGGACCCAAATACTTTTTATTTAATTGTTTATTAAACACTACACTGTTGATTTTTATGGAAATTCAGATTTTTATAGAATAAAAAAATGGCCTCTCAATGTAGAGGAATAAAACTATGCTAAAGAATTGTTTCCTGTATTAAAGTTTCTTTTGGGTCCAAAGTTGAGTAAAGTTCATAGTAATCTTTACGAAACTTTTGACCTACAAGGTTGTTTGGCACACTCACGTATACGATAAATGCATAAAATCCGCGGTCTCTTTATCACCCAGTCAACCAAATTTGCAAAGTCAAATTTTGTCCAGTGCCTGTTATAAAGTTAAACTGCAAGTTTGTTGCGAAATTTGCTATAAACAACTTGCCCGCACATTGACGGCAACACAAGAAGCAAATTGACAGCAACATATGGGCATAGGTCATGTTGCAAGATTTTCTGCCAATTTGATTTACCATTTTGTCAGCTGGTGTTGCCTAAAAAACCCAACTCAAGAAAAAACCCCACCTCTGATGAAGGAATGGTGAAAAACTATATACATATAGTATTGGGTATACTCTTTAATGAATCTAGATGTTCTCTGTCAACAGGTACAATGTCATATTCATGATACTGACGTACTTCTTGCCGATTGGGTCGATGACATTCACATATGCCCGAATCGGTTTGGAGTTATGGGGTTCGCAGAGTATTGGTGAAAACACAGTGGGGCAGTTGGAGAGTATACGAAGCAAACGAAGGGTATGTACCTAGTCACATTAACAAATTTATATATCTTCGTTTGAAAATCTTAATTATCAAAATGTATTCGGAACACAAATGAAAATACCATTTACAGATTAGTAAAAAACACAAAAACTTTACGTTTCGAAATGTATCCTTACTGAGGGGATGTTAAAGTACTAGGAAAATTTTTCGAATGAAAATGAAACGAAAACTGTGCTGTACTCTATATCTATTTTCCTACAAACCAATAACAATATACATATAACATATTAGATAACTATTCGTCGAATTGAGATATGGAGCGTATTGTAAAATCTATGATTAGATGGTTGGGTCAATATTAACAATACATATTGAAATAAACATTTATTTTTCACATATAAACAGGCAACATACATGATAAAATCTTTTTCCTTCTTTTCTCAGTCATAGATAAGCACCATACTATCTGTTATATCTTTTCCTTTAAAATCTCAGTCTATATTCATTTATTGTTAATATTACTCTCGTAATAATTTTTCAAATATTCAACTTGCAACTGTATATATTGAGGATGTTGTTTAGACCATATTGTCAAAGTCTCAAATGCCCTTTTAATGTCATCCTGACTGGGAGTCATATCCTCGTCTTTACTTCCTTCTTCTTCGTCGTCTTCATCCTCCTCCTCTTCCTCGTCATTCTCCTCTTGCATCTCATCTTCAAAGAAATTCCTCTCGGTATCCTCGCAACGTAATAAAAATTCGTTAACAGTCTCTTCTGGCTCTTGTTCCCCGGTGATGATGCCAATGATATCTTGTAAGTTGGGCTCCAAAGGGTCCTCCGGCTCTTCTTTTATCGGACTCGCTACGGGGATTTGCTTAACGATGCTCGCCCACGCATTCTGAACGCTTGCCACAGTCATCTCCGTCCACGCCTCGGAAAACAGATCCATACAATCCTTGAGATCGAAGTCGAAATAGAATTTCCGTACATCGCCGGGAAAATCCAATACTCGTCGCAACATTTTCATCCGATACGACGTTTTGGTTCCCTCTATCACTTCTTGGTTCAATGATTGAACAAGGGAGACAGCACTCGGAGGCAAGAACACAATTTCAAAATTATCATCATTCCCGAATTCTTTGGGCAACAGCAGACATTGCCTCTGGTAATTATCCAGCAGAAGCAACACTTTCCCCCTTCCGTCAGGAAACTGAAGTATTTTCACGGTTGATTTAAAATGATTATTATACCAGTCGGTAAATATAGCACGATCCATTGCAGCCTGTGGCTGATTTTTGAAAAGTACAGACAACCGATCCTTACAATGTTTCAACGCTTTCGGATTCTCGTCTTTATGAACAAACAAGGGCGCGAGCTTATGGCTACCAGATGCGTTAACACATAGATATACGGTCACCCTCTCTTTTCTGAACTTTCTCTCCCTTTTCTGTTTTGTCGCGCAACGTTCCAGTAGTTTATTCGGAAACTCCTTCCACGCTAGTGCGGTGTTCCTCGCGTAGTAAATATTCTTATACGCTATCTTTTCGTTCTTTATTCTACGGGTGAAATTCTTCAAAAACTGTTGCCCCTCTGACTCCGTTGTCGCAGACGTTTCCTCTACCATATTTTCCACCGAACGTGGCTTTGTTTCGACGATCGGTTCTACAGATGTCGCGGAATTCACATAAGCCCCCGCATGTACATTTGTTCTTACATTTACATTCGCGGTCGCGTTCATAGACGACGCCGTATTTATATACCCTGGTGAAGTTATATTCATAGCTGGATTTATACCCGCTGCCGTGTCCATATACGCCGGTATGCCTACATTCATTGCTGGGTTCACACCAGTTGCCGCTTTTGCGTCGACCGTTAGGCTCCCGTATGTAACTGGACCACCCGTATATGGCCGCGTGTTCATGAACATTGGTGTGTTCGTGTACGTTTGTGGATTTATATACATCGGTGGATTCAGATACGGTGTCGCGTTTACATTTGCTGCCGCATGTGTACCCGAAATTGCATTTGAACCCGCCATCGAATTTACAGTCGCAGGTGCATCCCTCAGCGCGATTATTGTTGATCCACCCGCCATCGCATTTATTGCCACGGTTGTAGTCGCCGTCGTCTTTACAGTTGCCGAGTCCATAGACACTATTGGATCGGGGCACACTACATCCTTCACGCACACTTCCTCTTTCACATAAATTGCAGCATAGGGATTTATATTTCCTGTACTGTCAACGTCTCTACAGCTAATACCATGACGTTTTTTAAAATCCCATAGCCAGTTGTAGGTCGCCGTGAATGTTGATCGTCCAATATCTTTTGAGAGCTGCATTGCTTTCTCCGTGAATGTCGTATCCGTGAATGGTTCGCCACGAGCCTTCTGTTCTAAGAACCATGCGTACAATCGGCCATCCACGTCTTCGTTATGAGGTTTCTGTATATTTTGCATTCTCGCTAAGTCCTCTTTCTCCGCCGGTTGACAGGCCTCCTGTTTTCTTGGATTTGGAGAAGGATGGTCGGGTACACATAAAGTTCGACAGCCGTGCTACTGGTTGATACACCAGTTTGTGATTTTCGCACAATACCAAAACTCTGCTTTACTAAGTGTGGAGGTTCTCTGTCAAATTTAATGACCGCCTCCATTATAACCCACGTGGACCAAGGAATGCTTCATGCTCATAACCTCTGTGAAGAATGTCCCGTTTTCTGGTCAGCTCCATTTAGCAGCGGACTGCAGCGTAACGTATTTCAGCGCATCTGGTCTGCACATCACGCGTCGAAAGGAGGATTGCTTTTCTCCACTGGTGACTCTTATGAGCTTGAGTAATGTCGCGACACTCCTTCGTGTCGAGTGTCTCACTCGTTCTCGTTCCTCTTCACTTGCCTTATCATTCTCTGCACACGATAAATCGCGAGGGACTGCCCAAAAGCCATAAGCGCGGAAGCCGAACCCAATCCAGATAAGAAGGTCGATTCCTGGAACACATGAACATTGCGAAACTTTAACAGATGCTCGTTGCCTGGCCACACTCGAACCGTACACCGGTGTCCTATCGTACAGTCAATTACAATCGTATGCGACATCACGTTTCTATTACAAGATTAATTCACCTGATTTTTATACACAGTGCTCAAAAGAATTAGGGAATCGCTAATGTGGGCGATCCTGTTGCACCCACTTAACGAAAGAAACAGAACAAGTGTTATAGGTTTAATAAACTGATATCTTTCCCGTACAATACTAACACTACTCTAAAAACTTTAACGTCATATTGAGCGTCATACTAGCAGAGCGACTGCAATATGTATTGATCCCCTAATTGTTTTGAACAATGCACATTCCACTGTTTCTGCAAATTGTTGGGAGACATAAACTCATTCTTCATTTAGCGAATTTGAGGATTCACATAGAGGTGAAACTAATGAGGAAGACATCATCCTCATGGTAGATATCATTATGACTTTATCCTAACATTAGTTCCATTATCAGATGAAATCTTATCACTATTATTCCTATGCACGAAGAAAAAATATAGTGATGTCCTAGAAATGGTGAGGGTGGAATGGGTAACATATATTAGTGTCTGGAGTAAAGATCTCGGGGATGAACTTTGTTTGTTTTTTTGGACCCTGCATTAAGGAACTAGACACGCCAAAGTGATGTCGAGGGCTTACACGACCCAATAAGGCGTGAGACACTTTTAGCGGTCTGTATCCTGAAGGGTATCGTTTTCCATACCACTTGATAGTGCCTGAGGTCTCCCCACACAATTCCTTCGACCAAGCACTCTCTAATTAATCTCGCTGAAAAAAGAACGAAACCTCAATGTATTTCGTCACTAATAAAGTGTACTAATAAACAATCCACTATATTTTACCAAATTTCATATTCATTTTTCATAAAGTCAACAAAAGACTGTGCCAATCTAGTCATAGGCTGGTAGGCAACATCCTTGTTCTTGATCATCTTCCATTATTTTCACAAAAAAAGGCCTGGAGTATGTTCTGAATGCAAGTTATGTTACAATATTATTTAAAAAACATGGTGGATTACTTATTAGCACACAAAATAGATTGCAGACTTTATACATTTATGAAATGTTTAATGAACCCTAACAATATATTTCTTGACATATTTAGAAACTGACAGAAACTTCAAATACAGAGAACAATATTCTGATTGAGACCAGTTTCTATAAATTAAGTTATAAAAATCTATATTTTAACAAACATAATTTTCATGAAACATCACAATTTTCTTCATAAAGACTAGGTGTCCTAATACTCATAAATTACAATATAGATCATTTGTTATGACTAAATGACGCTGTTTATATTACCGCGAAGAGTATAATACTTTTTAAAAATTAAATGCAATGGAACACGCTGTAGGGAATTTTCCTCGATAAATAGCCAGTTTTTATAAAGGAAGAAAGTAATGCCAGGTCAGACCAGTCATTTAATTGAATGAAAGCGATGAAAGCAGGAAGAAGGCTCAAGGGAAGTATTCTGCGCGCAAGGGTACCAGGAAATTTACAATTCTCCCCAGTGCCGAAGTGGTTTTATTGGATTACGATTAAACGGCAAAGCGCCTGCGTTTTCCCCTACATATGGACAATCTGACCGTCCACTTCGGCACGTGTGTAACAATGCTGCGTTCCAATTGGCCGCCGAGAAGTTATACCTAGAAAGGTTTCTGATGTTCTCGGTATCTTAACGTATTTAACAGTCAATATTTTGACGTAATTGACAGAAACCAGTGGTATATCAATTACTCGATAAAACACATAAATTGTAATTAAGACAACATTGTATTTTGTCCTGTATTTTTATTACAATAATTACTATATCATTCAAATTAAATAGATTTATACTTAACAAAGTCGAATCATAAACATTTAATAGTACGAATATAGTCGTGATCTTTCACTGCACAGAAAAATTCCTTAAAAATGTTTGGCACACTTACTGTACCGTAGATTATTGCTTAATAACAGAAAATATGATCGTATTCAATTTTAATGAAATTTCACAGAATTATCACTATATTGTGAATATTACGCAAATGGACTAATTCACAAAAAGTTTTGGTCACTTGCGAAGAGTACTATAAATCAACACTAACTGAAAACGTGCTTGTTTCAGGTAGTGAAAATGATGATCGTGGTCGTAGTCATATTCGCCGTGTGCTGGTTACCATTTCACGTGTACTTCATCATAACGTCGTACCTGCCCGAGATTACAAACAAACCGTACATTCAAGAAGTTTACTTAGGCATCTACTGGCTAGCAATGTCAAACAGCATGTACAATCCAATAATCTACTGCTGGATGAATTCCAGGTAAAATGTTATGTCAATCAGCACGTAAGTACCTTTATTTCTGGAAGTCTGGTCTCATCTATTATCCCACGACTAACTGCATTTTGTCTCAGCAACGCTCGAAAGCATTAATTCGAGAAGTGCAGTCTTCGTAACCACTGGCGTAATTATTAACTGATTAAGGACCAAGCAGTGAAATAATAAGATTTTCTATTCTTTACGAGTTTACATACCTACATGGAAGAAGAAATAGTGACGAAAAAATTATTAAGCAAATCTTCGTAATTCCCTTCCATAACCACAATGTTAAAAAACAAAATAGCATAATGTAAGTCGACTGAAAAAAAATTGCAAATGAATCCTTACATTAACGCAACATTGGTCCTTAATGGGTTAATAATAATTAACGTACTGATAGAAAGTGATTAACCTAGTAATGCTTCTCTTTTTACACAGCTTCTGAGCCTCTCATTTTTAATTTGGTATCCCCAAAAAATGTAAACTTGCATAAACATCCGAATTCTAATTATAAAACTGACTGCAACATTATCATACCTGTATGTTACACTTTATGTACGAAATCAGAAAACTGGCAGTGACATATGATTTTTAATACGAAATGCTGTAAGTATTATGAGTAAAAGTTTGAACTTAGTGTCTTGCAAAAAAACTAAAGCAGGACATAGATAGTTGTCGTCCCTACAACGTTATTAGACTTCGGAAACTTTCACGTGTAGCTAAGGATAAAAGGGGGTGACTTCGCGGCCAAGTTTTTTTTTATTATTTTGTCACTGAAGTTATAGAAGTTTGACGATAGGATAACCATTTTCATGATACTTACTTCAAGCTCGACGCCCATGAACGTATAAAGTTAACATGGTGAAATAAATCGACTCGTTAATAGAGATAATTACTGCACCCTTCTTTCGTCACGGACTAGAAAAAATGCGTTTAAAACTTTCGCAAACTCTTAATGTCTTTCATTAAAAACTTGTTAAGTGCGGCAGCTTTCTCAGACGCTTCTAAATTAATTTCACAATTTTCACGTAATGATAAATCAATGACAAACTTTTCCCCGAGCATTGTTAATATCCGTTGAACCATGAAGGAATCGTAAAAAGTAAAAAAAATGCTTGTAAGTCAGAAACTTTTACTGAAATATTTCTAACGATTACAACCCTTAACAGATGGAGTCTGAGACACTTCATAAAATTTGTAAACAAATGAGAATCAAATACTCAACACGCAGGGACCACTGGTGGTCAGTAACCGCCCATTATGATTTAGTATTTATGTATGTAGTTGTCGTGGAATAAGCATCCGTTGTGAGTTTAACGCACCGTCGAAGACAAATCCAGATAACATTGTTCCGGCCGCAAACTGAATGAAACGGGTGCCAGATGATTGATTCGAAAATAGCCGTTCGCCGGAGTCCCTTTACACGTCATGCACAGGGATTGTTTCCATGAAATTTACCATATACCAGTGTCATCGTTCCATGCGAAATAATTGAAATAGTATCACTATCCAACTAACTGATTTTGTCACAGCAAACCGGCGTCACTTCTATCTGGAGAATAGGAATATCAGAAACACACGAGTGTCCCATGACCTGTGGTTCGATAGAATTTCACCCAGATTTTCACCTAAAGAAAAACAAAGTCGAAATATATGAAATATAAGCAGACTGGCGATCGATCGTGATCGTTGAAGTGCAGTTCAAAAGCATATGATTCGTGAAAGCTTGACTCAGTTTTTTCAAATTTTATTTTTCGATTACGTATTATAGTATTATTAGGAACTGCTAAAGTATCGAGTGTTAATGCTAAAACTAAGATAATTGAATATACTGTTGTTTTATTTATCTATAGTCAATATCTATGCAAAAATTTTGTTGAAACTTCGGTTCTTAAAACAAAACACATTCTTTGTGTAAAACAAAGTCAACGCTTCAGGTTTCGAAAGTTTTGTGATCTTCGAAATCTTTCAAAGTTTCGGATTCAAGTTTCGAGAATTTAAAAATTTCATTCCAACCCACCCCTAATTAAAATAGCTTAGTCACTGATTGATGGAGATCATTCTGCGTCCTTCAGATTTCGTCGGGGATTCGCGCACTTCTTTTCTTGGTGTCCATGGATACGGATACCTCTGGAGCCCGTGTTATCTCGGTCAGAGGCAGTGACGTCTCGATACAGCTGCACCGGAAGTCCGCAGACGAACACCAGGTTATCACGGAACGGTACGTCCTCCTGCACATCCTCGGAACGTTCTTGCACTACATCGTCCTCGACCACCACGAGCGAGTCACGTTTCGATCACGACGATCCCCAAACGAACGAACGAAACTCGTGTATAGATTTGCACGAGCTACCTAACAACGTTGACGACGGCGAAACCAATGTTTACGTGGAACCACCAAGCGTAGTAATGATACCCAAACAGTGAAATTGAATTCGTTCGTCGTAGATTTTGCTGCGATCACACGCAACAGATAGCTTATAAATAGTGATTTGAACGAGAAAGGGGAAACATAGGAGCAGATCAGGGAGATATCGATTTTATATATAGATATTTTTTATACGTTCGTACAAATGGTTGAAAGTCTACTGAAACGATCGAATTTATCTGAAGTACATGCATAAAATAAAGATTCAAAGAAGATACCTTTCACAAAGAATATTATTCATAACGATATGTTATAATTATTTTCTATAAATAATATTAAAATGACAATATCGACATACATAGTAAAATTCTCATCATTGATGTCTGTACTTTTAGCCAAGCCACTTAATCATGAGATACAGCCATGGTAGAACGGATAATGTAATATCGAGATATATTGATAATAAATTTCGTACGTTATTTATATTGAAACATGGTGGAACTGTTTACTACACAGTGGTACATACATTTTAGGCCGTGGTAATACTTTCATTAAACAATGTCCAAAATTCATAAACATCAAAATCCAAATTCATACTCAACTCGATAACCTGATAGGACTAACTAGTGTCTTTATTTTTCTCTCTGTTAGTATTTTCAATTTATAAACCGATAATTACATAACACTTTTAAATACTGAATAGATACCACACGAAACGGATGTTATTTTTTCGCCGACTGTAATGGATAACTTTTTTAGTTATGTTTGCAAACTGCACTGTCAGAAATGTCTACCGTCAGCAGACATTTTCAGCTTATACATATTCCGTGAGAAAAGTTTAAAACCTCTTCAGAAAGTGGATTTTCTTGCTATTGTAAATTTTACATGCGCATCTCCGACAGAACTTTCCTACAGACCTAATGATCAGTGAGTTTAAATCACGATGCAGTAGAAACCGATACGCAAGAATCGTTGTATCGATGCAAACCAGCCCTATTTCTAATTTCAATAGGCACGGCGCGAATACCGCTGTACCTGCAATCAGCGAGAGGAGGAAACGATCGGTTTCTGGCTCATCATCGGGGGAGAAAATGGAAAAGCACGCAAACCAGCGACCACGTGTCTTGACAAGAGGAGGAGAATTCTCATCAACAACGAGTACACACCTGGATATAAGAGTACATATCTTAAGCAGTCGCCTTCACCGAGATTTATCTAATGCAACAGGATTCACACAGGAAAGCTCCTGATCCTACATTACTATTCGACGCCCGTTATCGACCAGAACGAAAGCTCAAATACTGTTGACCTTGCGCGATCGACTATGTGCTAAATAATAATTAAAATTTTCGTTTCGATGTAAATACCACTGAATAAGAACGTCGAACTCGATGTGATAACGATAGATAATCGCAATATACATACATAGATGCTCCCTCCACATCTTCACATATTTCGATCGTTTGAAGGGAACACGAATCAATTCCATTATCTGGTACAGTGGAGCGTCCCGTATCCGAACTAATAGGGAGACATAAGTGTTCGGATAATAGAACAATCACTTTTCAGACACTAAACTTCATTTATTTAGATCAAGAAAATTGACAATTTCTTTAAACATTTACGAATCCCATATACATTTGGTTGCTAAATTACAGAAACTCGACTGTGCTTCCAGGGTTAATATTTCGGTCGCAGCCTATATTATTACGCTTATACATTAATTCATGTTCGATTAATTGATGTTACAAACAATACAGCTAATTAAGAGACACTGTACGTGAATGCTTGAAACATGTTGAAAACATGAAAAACGTGAAATGAGTCATATTTCCTTTAAACGACAGAAATCTATATGTATCTTCCACTGTACGATATGAAGCGTTAAAAAGCAATTTCGCCATCATTAGCGTCAAATCATCTACCCTGATTCATAGTTTCATGTATGCGTAAACAGTAACGGACCAATGATCTACTTATGAACGTTGTTTTTTTTAATCCGGCAGAAAAACAAAGAAGCTTTGACAAAATGAAAAATTGATATTTAGAATGTACATTACATGATATAGTGACTTAAAGCGGATAGCTCGATTATAAAGCATAAGGTGTTTAATTTATTAATCTTCGTGTTCCTATCGTGTGTATTAATAAACGTAATAGCCTGTGCACCAAAGAATATTAATTCTCATTGGTCAAAAGATATTTCCTACTTTAGAATGTAGTTCCATCAGAAACAAAAATTCTAAACAATATCCTGTTTTGCTCATGTGCAATTGTATCCAATAATTTCGGGAAATTTTTGGCATTGTAAAAAAATAAGAAATTGTAAATAATACAAAAGTAACTGTAATAATCTTCAATGCAAATTTCACAATTGTGAGGAATATATAACTATATGACACTGTTACTTTTAATCCAAGTACTAAGGGAAGTACTAAAGGATTTATTACTTAACTTTTTGAACAACAAAATTCTACAAATATGCGATTGCTTTTTCGATTGTGTTTGCATTAAAATGATTACATAGACCCGCCAATACTGAAGTAATTTATACCTCTGTAACTCATCCTTTATTTTGTTCAAATTAAGAAGCGTGTAAAAAATAAAAATTGCAAAATTAAAAAAGACTATGGGAGACAAAATTATGTCCGTCTTATTATTCGCAACTTTTAGAAAATGTATGAACTACGATCTGTTTCAATTTTCAAGTATAACATAACATGGAGCAAACATACTCTGGGAAAAACAAACGCTTTTTAATATACTAGTTAAGTAAAAATATACCTACATAGGTATTACTGCATTTAATATAATGAAAAATGTTATAAACAACACAAGAAATAAGTAAATTGTTCAGTATGTACAGAAATGTGTAAGGATAAACGTGCGAAATTATTGTTTTTGTTCATATGTAAATACTTCAAAAATTTATAGTAAAAAGTACTAAATTGTGTACATGAAATATCATTTTCTTCAATTTATTTGTTTAGATTGACCGTTGTTTGTTGTTGAAATTAATTGAATTTAGTTTTGTTTCCTCTCGTATACTTTCAAATCATTCAGAAACCAAATGCTAATGAAATTCGTTTTCACAATTTTTGCTCTTCTAGACCACTCAAGGTGTAAAACATTCCTTGCATGCTTAAAAAAATCAGAAACTGCTGGTTATAAATCTAACGTCACCACTTAGTTTCAAAATTAAGAATTTTTAAATATTGTCTAATTTACTCTTCCATATTATGGAATCTGAACTGAACAAAAACAATCTTTTATGTATGCTAATGAACTTAAATGAAAGCAAAGAAGTACACGATACCAAAATAAATACTCAATGTGATATTTCTATGTATTTTTTATGAAGTATTTCAACATATGTAATATATCTATACAAATAAGGGAGATATTTTTAATTTAAGTATCTAATCATATCAATTTATTGAAATGTTTATAACGTATAGATATATTTTAAAAGATACATGGTATCAGTCATCATAAAATGAAGATTATAAATTATTACTAATCAACTAATTCAAAGAAAAATCCTGTTAATTATAAACTCTAGATAGTTAAGAATTTGCAGTAAATGAAATATAATTGGATTATTTATTGTATTGTGCGTGACAACATTTATAACAATCTGTATTCATACAAAGTGATTGCGATAAAAGATGTTTTACGACAATTCTTTAAGAAATGTTTATTAAATTGAGCTTTGAATAAATTCTATTTCCCAATTCCGTTTTTCTAAATTAAAACTTGTAATCCTCTAATAAAATGTCATCATGATTTAAAAAAAAACCTATTTCTTTACATCTCACTTAACTTTTTTGAGGACATTCAAACAAATGTAGTAATAGTATCAACGTCTTTAATATAGTACACATTAATTTAAACATCATTATCACAATTATTTTTGATAAAATCTAAATTCAACTTTTCCTTTATTGGCATTTATCTCTTCCCAAAAAATACATTGAAATGTAGATGGATCCATTTTATCAATGTATAGTTTACCCTGAAATTAAAATAATATAATTAAATAACATATTTACCTGACTGTTCCTTAATCCTTATATAGTATACTAATATTGTTTCCCGTCAACTGGATAACCAACAAAAGTATGCGTATCGTACAGCGTTAACAAAAAAAAAAAATTACTAACGATTATGACACGTTTTATACAGTAACACAGTCATACTAATTAAAGTCTTTCCAACTTCTGCTCCTCAACATTGAAGCGTTTAAAGTTTAAAAAATCCACGAGAGGGAAAATTAAATACATCAATGAAAAGCACGCGATATGACTGAGTAACAACTTTAAATACACGCGCATGCGTATAAAATGTACAAAATCATTACAATTTTTATACACTGAATATAAGCACATAATTGAATACACATTTATTATAGGAATTGTATAAAAACCATTCTATTACTGGCAATCATTGTTGTGTGAATACTCGAGAATTTTAACCGTCCAGAAAACCTTTTTTTTGGATTCAAAGTACTTATCACTATCTAATACTTCAGCAGTATATGAAATATTACTGTATACTCCTACTGTAACTGACAAGAAAATTTTGTAGTATGAAAAAAAATTACTTGTAAATGATCAAATTCATGTTGAGCGATCCTCGCTGGCCAGCCTTTAGCCGTCCAAGAGAATGTCTCTCCTAATCGATTAAAAGCTTTAATTTCAACTTCTCTTGCCCTCAAAATATCGGCACCATAACCGAGAATACTTCCACACATTTCGGTATGCATTACATTTTTTTCACCTTTTATCTCCATGACTGGATTAATAAAGAATGTCAATGGAACTTCTTCCATTTCACAAAACTTCTGAATTTCTGGATCAATTTTATCCAAAATTTTTTTTCTTACTTCTATAGCAAATACTTGCAAAGAAAGGCCGATTTGCGGTGCTGCTACTCCTGACATATTATACTTCCTTAACACATTGCTTAACTGTTCAAGCATCTGTAACATCAATCTAGACTTATTCATTTGTGCAATGTTGTCTTGTATTACATATTTAAGAGGAATAGTTGTTACATATATGCACATAGAAATATATTGTTACACATATATTCAATAATAAAACCACTGAAGGTTTTTATTTTAATTTTCTCATAAATGAGGAATACTTCAAAAATAATTGAAGTTTTATTAGCACTGTATCACAATAGATGTATTTGACATTTCAAAATGCAGGTCCGCTTTTTTTTAAATATTTAGAACTGGAAAAGTTCATATATACAAGAATACCTCTTGAAATTCGCGCGTCCCTATTATCTGCGTGTCCACTGGAGCCGCCTTCTGTCGTAAAACAGGGTCGCCAAGTTGACAGATATGCTTGTATGGAGGTTTTATTGGTTGAGATCGAAAACAATTTATGATAGCATTCTTAGCACTCTTGAAATTAAAGTATCGGATACCATTCTTCTTCATACTTGATACACATTGTTTTATTATATAACTACTATTACTTATTAAAACCATTGTCACGGAGTATTTTACAGATTCGTTAAGACAGTATTACGTTAGGTTAGACTGCTTTTGTAACCATGGATATGTTGGTAGTACCAGAGAAGAAATGAGAATGCTAACTAGAGATGGCGTGAACTGCTACTTGTGAATCACTCGTGATTCGATCACGTTCGTTCCCAATCACGGTGATTTATCACAGTGATCGCCGAATCACGATCACGGTCGTGATTTAACTTCATTCACAACCGTGATTGCGATTTTTTTATCTTGAGTGAATTTGCTCACTGCGATCGTAAGTCCTTGATCTTTAAACAGAAAAATGTATTCAATATGATTTTACGATGAATTACATTACTATTCGTGTTTGTAAAAATCAGTAGAAAAGACAAGAAATTCTAAAAGAATGATTTGCTAGGTAACATGTAGATTATAATTTATAATCATTAATTTATTCATTATTCTTCATTGTTTCTAATTATTCCTTCACTTTATACGATATAACACGAATTTTTGTTTTGATGTAGTTAATATAAAATATACAGATTATGTGTCGCGTGTAAAGAACTGTTAGGTTTCTCCACCAATCAGAAACGATCACGAGAAATCACGAATCACTGTGAAAAATCGTCGTGATTGAGAATAAACGTGATCGAATCACGAGTGATTCACAAGTAACAGTTCACGCCATCTCTAGCGGCAACCCAAATTGCGGCAGATTTCGATTGCATTTACACCGCTGAATGGTTATCATTTTTCTTCGGCACGCATTAGATTCGAAGTTTAAAGAACGTAGATTACTATTCTCTAACGGCTGGAAACCAGTAATCGCAAGAACATTGTTAAAATCGCATTTGTTTGCAACGGTTGACACTGTATCTCGTCATGCGTACCCCGGTTAGTTCACTTTGTATAGCTCTTACACCGTTATACGGATAGCTTTCGTTTACATAAAGCACTCAATTTGTAGCTGAAAGTACGTAGATTAATCCACTATTATTGATAATAACAGTAAACGACCAGAACACTGTTAAAATCGCATTTAATCGCGGAGTACCACTATTTTTTGGACCGGTGGCGCCATCCGTGGCGAATCGCTGAAACTACTAGCCAATTATATGGCTAGCAGTTTCAAAGTTACGCCACGGATGGCGCCACCGGTCGAATAAATAGTGGTACTCCGCGATTAAATGCAATTTTAACAGTGTTCTGGTCATTTATTGTTATTTTCAATGACAGGAGATTAATCTACGTTCTTTCAGCTTTAAACTGAATGCTTGATCAAGACGTAACTTGTCCATAGAACCTTGGAAGAGCTATTTAAAGTGAACTAAACGGGGTACGCCTGGCGAGATACAGTGTCAACCGTTGCAAACAAATGCGATTTTAACAATGATCTTGCGATTACTGGTTTCCAGCCGTTAGAGAATAGTAATCTACGTTCTTTAAAGTTCAAATGTAATCCATGACGAGGAAAACTGATGCTCGTTTAGCAGTGTAAATCCGATCGAAATCTGTGACAATTACATAACCACTAAACAGGCAACACTTTTCTTTGTCATGCATTACATTCGAAGCTTAAAGAATGTAGATTCGTACCCTATAACGGCTGATTCGTCTTGGCCAAGCACTCAACTTGTAGCTGAAAGAACGTAGATTAATCTCCTGTCAGTGGCAATAACAATGAACGACCAAAACACTGTTAAAATCACACTTTATTTGCAACGGTTGACACTGTATCTGGTCGTGCGTACCCCGGTTAGTTCACTTTGGACACCTCGTACATCGTTATATGGACAGCTTTCGTTTAGCTGAAGCATTCGATTTGTAGCTGAAAGTACGTAGATTAATTCGCTTTCATTGATAATAACAATAAGCGACCGGAACACTGTTAAAATCGCGTTTAAACGCGGAGTACCACTTTTTTTTGACCGGTGGCGCCACCCGCGGCAATTCGCTCAAACTGCTAGCCAAATAATACCGACAGGTGAGTGAACATTCCTAGTGATGGAAAAATGCGAATATCTCAGTAATTAAGCGCTTAAAATGAACGTCATTTGTCTCAAATTGTCCCTCCGGACTTAATGCATGGACCCAATAGTGCAGAACCCCTAAATTAGTAAAATTAGTTATGCCTGTATTACCGCAGCCCCTTATAGGGCGGCAACCCTACTTGCAATAGATTTCGATTACATTTACACCACTAAACGGGCATGGTTCTTCTTCGTTGTGCATTAGATACACCGTTTAAAGAACGTAGATTACTATTCTTTCACGGCTGGATACCAGTAATCGCAAGAACATTGTTAAAATCGCATTTGTTTGCAACGATTGACACTGTAACTCGTCATGCGTACCCCGTTTAGTTCACTTTAAATAGCTCTTCAAACGTTCTATGGACAAGTTACGTCTTGATCAAGCATTCAGTTTGAAGCTGAAAGAACGTAGATTAATCTGCTGTCATTGAAAATAACAATAAATGACCAGAACACTGTTAAAATTGCATTTAATCGCGGAGTACCATTATTTATTCGACCGGTGGCGCCATCCGTGGCGTAACTCTGAAACTGCTAGCCATATAACTGGCTAGTAGTTTCAGCGATTCGCCACGGATGGCGCCACCGGTCCAAAAAAAAGTGGTACTCCGCGATTAAATGCGATTTTAACAGTGTTCTGGTCGTTTATTGTTATTATCAATAATAGTGGATTAATCTACGTATTTTCAGCTACAAATTGAGTGCTTTATCTAAACGAAAGCTCTCCGTATAACGGTGTAAGAGCTATGCAAAGTGAACTAACCGGGGTACGCATGACGTGACACAGTGTCAACGTTGCAAACAAATGTGATTTTAACAATGTTCTTGTAAGTACTGGTTCCCAGCCGTTAGAGAGTATTATTCTACTAACTAATCCCAGATTAGTTTCGTAATAACTATAGGGATACGGTTTATAGGGTTTTTTGAGTTGCAACGTGAAAACTTATTTTGTCCGACAGTGTATAGTTTTCGTGTGACTCGACGACAATAGATGTCATTGTCACGTATTTCTATTCGAATATAACTAACCAAAAATAAGCGCCAAAGATACAACGTTTCCCATACTGCCTATCCGGTTGTTTCAATCCAAAACTTGTCAGTATTTAGAAAAACATCAAAATTATGGCCAGTTTATTAGATCTCTGTGAACAGTATTTTGGTGCACGCGATTTCTATGAGGTTCTCAAAATTCCAAGAACCGCCAATGACAAACAAGGTGGGTGTACATAACCTTTCCATAATGTTTACTGCTCCATAAACATTAAATCAAATAAAAAGTTACTCTTATATCTAATTTTGCATTTTCAGTAATAGACAATAATTATTTTGAATGTTTTACTAGTGAAGAAAGCATACCATCAACTGTCTTTACTTGTACATCCTGATCGTGTTGAAGAAGATGTCAAGGCAGAAGCAACAGAAAAATTCAAAGTCCTTGGACGAATTCATTCCATTCTCAGTGACATTGAGAAACGCAAGATATATGATCAGTCGGGTCAATATGATGAGGAAAGTGAAGAAGTTATGATGAGAAATTGGGCTGACTATTGGAAGTCACTTTTCAAAAAGATCACAGTGGAGGATATTAATAACTATGAAAAGAACTACAAAGGATCTGAAATAGAAATCAAAGATTTGAAACGTGCTTATATGGATAGTAAGTAAATTGAACTGTGTATAATATACAATAAAGTTCAACAGACACAGTAAACACATGGATTAAATTTTATTTGTAGGTGAAGGAGACATGGACTATATCTTGGAGACTGTTCCATTTACAAGCTGTGATGATGAACCAAGACTGCATAGTATTATTCAAGGTCTTATAGAAAAGAGTGAAGTACCAGAATATAAGGAGTTCACTGAGGAATGCGAGAAGAAGAAACTACGTAGAAAGCGCAAGGTAAGTGATAATTATAAAGAATTAAGAAGTACTTTAAAAAGTATAATTTTTTTTACTTTTCCACTCTACTTTTAAATAATAATTCATGATGTTTAAATTTGATTTGCTGAATAAAATTCTGAATAGAAACATATTAGTTATTTAGTCAAGGAGTAAAGTAAGCTCCTTTTCACAGTTTTGTGAGAAACTGATACAAATTTGTACTTTAATTTTCATTGTATGTACAAAAAAGTTACCCATGTTATGGTATAAATGAAATACCATTTTCCTAATATTTAGTAGTTTTATAGTATTCTCATTTTTTCAAAACGTGGAACTGATACTACATGTCAACTAAGAAATGTATTATATTGTGTTTGCTATAAAAAAAAACTTTAGGGAAAATGGAATAAGAATAACCAAAATAAATTAGATTAAACAAATTTTGAAATACAATTAGCAGACAAAAAAACTTTGTTAAGAGCACGTTCTGTTATTTATATTTACGCGCAACATTGCAAATGACGAAGCGCTCATAAATTCGATCATGATTTACCTACCCCCACCCCGCTGCGCATCACATCAAAGATCTGACGAACGAGTGAGCAGCGCGCTATTTTCAAGCTTTTCTATTTTTATCAGTAGATAGTACTGCTTCATGATTGGAAGTAGTAGTAGGAGGTGGACTAGTACCATGAGGATCAGAGGAGGGGGAGTGCTAGTAAATAAGTAAAGAGGGAACGCAAGAGCGGGTTCAGTCTAAAGAACAATTAGGCCGGTTCTAGCCCGCCGCTAGATGCGCTGTAATTTTCTGCTAAAATCCCTACCACAATGACCGTAAACCTTTGAACCATCGTTCTCTCGTGTACAGAATAATGAAACGTGTTCTCTTTCACGGTCACAATCACCAAGCTCCACGATCTATCGCGTGATTTTGAAAAAGAATAAGAGGAATACAAGTTGTACGACACAACGCTTGAAAATGGGTGGCATTATACAACTGTTGATATTGACTGTTCTGTGTGCGAGTGTCGGTAAAGTGCAGGGCGAGTGTAGACATGTGAACAACGATGACATGATAGAATATTCATGTGTTGGCGGTCAGCTATCCGATTTGAACGACCTTCCGGAATCGACTGGAAAAATTCGAATCTCGTCGATGCCAGTGTCACGGATAACAACAGACACGTTCGCAAGATTCGGTTCCGAGCTCTGGGTCCTTGGTTGCTCCGACTGTGGAATAACTGACATTGAACCGGGTGCCTTGCAGCATCTAACGAATCTTCAGCAATTGAGTCTGGACAACAATCACCTGACCACAATTAAGGAACCTTGGTTCAGGGGTCTGAATTACCTAACATATTTGGACCTGAACTATAACAACATAGAAACCATCGACGACGGTGTGTTCAAGAACCTACCCAGTCTGGTGGACCTACGGCTTTCCGGTAATCGATTGCAGTGCCTGAATATAGGAGCTCTGACGAACCTGAAAGACCTTAAGAGAATGTTCCTGACCGAGAACTCGGAGTTCAAGTGTCCCAACGCTGTCAGCACCTACCTGGAGAAGCATGGTGTGAGTTTCGAAAGAGACCCTGAATGGAACCGAATCACTAAAGATCTGGTCCCAGCGGATATCACGTACGAGTACGACATCGACTACGATAGCGACTACGATGACACGACCACAGTTCCAATAACAACACCTCTGCCCGCGTATCGGGAGAGGCTGCATCTGACACCAGTGACTCCAGTCCCGGTCGAATCAACCCCATCGTATGTACCGCAAAGGCTACAGACGACAGAAGAGGTTGTGTATCGTCCAGTATACGAGACTCCAGATTGGAGGACAATCCCAAGACCCAGACCAACTTCTCCGTCGATCGAAGAAGAGCGTACGACGATGGGACCGTCCTACGAGGATACTAAGACCTACCATCCCCCAAGAACAATTTTACCCCTAGACATTGACACCTATCCACCGAATCCGACCACGCCGTTGAGCGTAGACGAGACGACCTTGAGATCTTGGCCGAGATTCCCCGAAAGCACCAGTGCCAGACCAGAATTTCCACTTTACCCACCCCATGAGAACGAGGATCAACGTTACGAACAACCGTATTATTCGAGCGAAGCCAGCAGCCCGTTCCCGTTGGCACCTGGCCCAGCTGGCGACCAAGAAACCTCGCCATTCGCGGAATCCAATGTGGAGCATACCACCGACGAACCGTACAAGCTCGACTGGCAAGAGAGGAACACCGTGTCCTGGGACAATTACCCGATCGTGGACACCGGACCACCGGAGTACAGGGTTCCGCCTACGGACGATTCGGGCCCGACTCATGTCGTTCGACCTTTGCCGCCAGAAATGATTCAACCGGCCTCGCCGGACAATGTTTATCAGCCGCCCTATTACCAACACACCGTGACCGTTCACGGGCCGCCTTCCGCGAGCGATCCGAGGACCATCATGGGAGCAGAGGGTGTCCAAACGACCACCGACAAACCGTTGCCCAATTGTCCCAATTCATCGTCGCCGTTCCAACGATCCATATCCCTGTTGGTCGTCACGGTTCTGATGGTTCTGGTCGCCGGTGGTTTTGTGGAGGGATTTTAGCTAAAAATTATATCCAACGTTAATAGTAACTTGTATCGACGAAACGAATCGCTAGCGCGCACCTGTGCGGACATTTACGTAGTTCGCCGCCGTTGTAAATTGTTAGTCATGGGACATTGAGGATGATGTCCATTAAACAGTTAAACGTAAGGACACTGGGCTGGGTGATTGGTGTGCAGCTAAATTCAGCGTTTTCTATTCGAAGGGAACCCGTCTACAATCTACGGTGGATTGGTTCTAATGGATACCGCAGTGCCTGCAGTGATTATAGCGTACGTATAGGTTTTTTGGTTTGACGTGTGAACTGTCGTCGGTTTTGAGCGATTTTACGAAATTCTGATTTACTCGTTCCAGATATTTCAGGCGCCTCGTGCTTACTTTTGTTCGAAGATTTTTTATCATTCCAGTAATGGTAAAATAGTAAATCTGTAATCCGTCATTTTGACGAGTTTGGTAGCTCTAGTGTTAATATGTAATATTTTTAATATTTTTTGTTCACTTAAAAGTTGAACAATGTTTCAGTCTTTCGAATGGCAGTGTACATTCTCTGGTCCACAATATGTATACGTATATGTATACGGCGTCAGTAACGAGAGAGTCAAGTGATTAAATCCAGTGTAGTGGCTATAACTGATTAAGTCAAATGTTTTGATGATAGGGGTGAACGAAACCTTTCCACTTTCTTCAGATGTTTATGCGAGTCAGCTGGAACTGTTACGTAGAAACAATTAGCTCATTCCTTGTAATCGTTAGTCTACCCACTTTATTAACAGACAACACTACGCCTTTATGGCAAATTGGCGATGATGCCCTCTCGATCTTTATTTTAGAGAAAATGAAAGTGCAGAGGAATCAATAAGAATTATACATTAATTAGTTGTAACCCATAGCGATGAAAATGCTCTTCGATCAAATTTTAATAAGAAACAATTAATCCAAACGTTAAATGCGGTTTTATTATATTAATTTTAATTCCAAATATTTCTTCTTTTGGTTTTCGATTGTCTTAAATTTCATAAACAATCTGCTACCATTAGCAGACGCAGGCTGTCTATCCAAGGTGGTCGCGAACTGCGTCTCCGCGTAAAGTTCCGTTATCTTGTATTTTCCCGCCGCTTATGGAAATCGTTGCGCGACGCGTTCTCATTCTCTTCGATTCTGATAGCTGTCCAAGCATCCCTTCTCTGGGTAATCTATTCATAAATTCCGTTTTCAACGACTCGCCCAACAGAATTCATGTGTCGAGACGCAGATACAAAGTTGTGCAATATTGTTTGCGCCGCAGGAATACCGAATACGATTTCTGCGGCAGTCGCGATGCTGAATATCAATTGAAAGTAACAAGCAACGAGGGCCGCGATGTATCCGGTTGTGGTAATGAAATAATTACTAATGTCGGGTGTTATGTAACGACCTTGACCAGTGCATCTGATCAAGATACTCTGGTTTCTGCGATATTGTGTTTTGTCACTGATGGGAGCTCGTTCGGGACGTATGACGAGCGTTCGCTCTCATTTCCTAATTGCACTGTTCGGCAGAAACTGTACAAAGTCGTGTAAGGGTGAAGGCGGTGGCATTCTTGAGCGTTAGGAGTCAAACATACAGGGACGAATCCACTTATGAGTTCTGCTTTCGGTTGCTTTTCAGTTCGACTAGTTAATTGAGAGACGCTGTGCTGCTCAAGAGATCAGGATGACTTATGGGTTGGTAAAGATATTACATTGTGTGCCCGAACAAATCATTTATTATAGGGTCTTGTTAATCCGATTAGCAGACCAATCAGTGCATTGATAATTGCTCTATAGGCCGGCTGTAGAATGGCATTTGAATCAGTCAATTACAGTTCAACTAGAACAACTTTCTTAAGACTAGAGGTCGCTGACATCGAGTCTTCTATTGAGGATCAGACATCAGGTTGTAAATTTCTTTTTAAAAAGTTTCTAATGTTATTACCCTTCGTGCCACTAAATATATTTGATTATATGTATACACATTGATAGGAAAGAAATCGTTTATTTAAATGTATGTTTCCGAATATAAATTCAATTAGAAATTCGGCTGTACATTTCTTCGAATACGTCTGACTAATGCGTCTGTTCGCTACTTACTATTTCCACTTACAGTGAATACTTACGACGAGAATTTTCCTATCTCCTATTAACCTCATGTGGAATATTCGCGTTATATTATGTGTGCGTTTGACGAATGTTTTCAGCTTACACTCCCGACATAAGTAAAAATTATCAGTGTTGGGATCGACACACATGCTCATGTTCTTATACTTATCCGAGCAACGACAATAAAGAAGTCTCATTTCTTTTTCTAATACCTTATTTATTCTTTTTTTTAAATCGGTACCTTGACAGGGTTCGCGGTACGCGAATAAGTATTCAGTCGACAGAGAGCGTTTACAACTAAAAAGCTCCGCAGTCAAAGGGTCAATGCCTAAGTGGCTGAATACTTTCGTGACCGAATGTCTATCGTTTGCCCTATATTTATTTCGTTCGAACGTATTATGTGACGAGAAAGTCTGTCGGCGATCGATGTCAAGTTCGAAACGGCGCAGCTTCCCGTGTTCACGTTCGCAACAGGTGTTACGCGATTCCGTCGACCGATGCCAACTCTAAATGAACAGGAGGCTTTAGCGCGGCCTTGCTCGCGCTCGGGAGTCCCAGCACGCCGCCGTCGATTGAAAGGGTTTCATTGTGGTGCTAAAGCGTATCTCTGGATCTCCGACCACGTGGCATCCTTAACCCGCGGAATGAAGTTTGTCGTCGCGATTCCCCGCGAAATTCCGCGGCGATGACACGCTGCGACGGGAATGCATTTTGTTACGCAACCAATCCAACGGCCGGCGGTGTTCAATTATTTCGTGATTCGGATGATATCCGGAGCGTGGTCAGGCGAGCCGCCAGATGTGTTCGTTCGTTCGTTCTTACGGACACCAGGAGACCGAGTAATTCAAGGTTGCGGAAGCGCATCGTTCCGTCATCGTCGACGCCGCGAGTTCGTACGCGCGAACCTATGATATTTTGGCACACCTCTTCGGCCCCTAAATAGATTAAGAGGAGGAATCGCTGATTGGTTACCGACCATAGGGTATTAATAGAATTGCACGAATGGGAATGAACGAAGACTGCTTGGTACGGTGGATGATTCATTATCGGTTGCGAATTCTGCGTGGTTATTGCAGATGTGAATATGGAAATTGTAGTATCATATCTGCCTGGAGCGAGAGTGTATTAACCCTTTGTACCCGATTGTCCCTACTGAAGGGACAAAATGTATGGGGAATTTGGAAATTCCGAGTGAAAACAGGTAAGGTTCACGTTTTTGAAAATGTAGAGGAAAGGATTAAGATTTCTTGTGGCCCAGGACTATTAAACCTTCGGGAGCCTCCTTGATTGAGGGGGAACAAAATTTGTATAATACAATATACAATAAAATACATAAATCTTCAAAACTTGAAATTTAACGAACAATGCTTCGTTATATTTTAACAACTTTGATCCGATTTATTTGTACATTTAGTACAATTTTTTGATTTCAGTAGGGAAACAGTAAACAAAATTTTGTGAGATAAACCGAAGGCTTATATTAGGGCACCTCTTGATAGTGGGCCTCCTCCCTTCCCCCTATTAATTCTGCGCTGTTTGGAACCGTTCGGTAAGAATTATACATGAAACAATCGCTACCTTCGAACTGTTCAATGGATTTAAGATAAGTTTCTATATGTAGAAATTGTGAACTTTGCATTAATTTTTAGATTGCGAACCATTCGGAAGAGGACGTTTGCCGTGTACGATGTTATGATCTTCTTTGTTAATAATTTTGAAAAGCATTCTATTGTTTGTATAAATTTTATAGAATGTAACAATTGTAGTTTAAGGGAAGAACCACTTTGAAAAATCTAGGTTTACAAATTACTGGCTCGATAAAACAATTGGTTTCTATTCAGTAGGTTAACATGAAATATTGTTTGGCGTGGGTTGTTTAGCATGAAATATTGTGTACGTTTGCTTGAAAATAATACTGATGTCAACGAGAATGTTGAAATTCCTTTCAACCAAAACATGCTTGAAACGAAACATATGACGCTTTAGTTATAAGAACAATCAGAAATATGCAAAGCAACCAATTTTAACCAAATGGACGATGTCACAGTTGTCTCTTAGGCAACGCTGCTCGACTCCCTTTGATCAGATCTGAATCGAATGCCATTCCAATAACCGGCTGCATTCAGAATTTCGCGAACCGTTGTGCAACGACCTAACATTAGGATGCCTGTTCGATGTACTTGCCAGAAATTATAAATAACGGAATTTCCTCAGCGCCGAATTATGGAGTAGGTCACTAGCAATATGGAACATCATCGATAAGTATGCACAACATGGTGCGTTTCTCATAAAAGATGACTGATACCTGTTTAAACATTTCTAAGAATAACGCTATTTATGAGCATCTATAGAACATTCATGAATAGTCTTCTGTTATTTCGAGATATTTCGTCGAAAATCTTACGAACTGTTTCACCACAAATGTGAAAGCCACTGTTCTTCTTAAGGTAGCTTCCCCGTTTTGTGTCTTATCCAGCTGGGGCTCCATATCGCGCTTTATATTTTTTACCAATTTTACCAATTTAATTTGAATTAGATTTCAATTAGAAAACAATAGTACTAATGGAACGCAAATAACATTGCATTGTCATATCTGTTTCTTGGAAGTAGAAGTGGCGTGTAATGGTCAGACGCACTAGTGATATGTATTCAAACGGGAGGAAACAGTCTCCAAGTTTGTTTTCTTAAAAACAGACAACCATACGAAGATCGTTTATTTGTTTTTCTACAGATAACCCTCGTATAACACGATGATTCTCTCACATTATTAGAGAATTGGGGCAATCCCCTAATAACAGAGTATTTCTAGCATACGGTTAAAGAGTTGTGTAAAATAATATAATTTTCTTAGTTTCTAGAATTTAACCCTATTTTCTATATCTATATACATAGTAATTCTTAGTTTCGAATAACACGGAAATTTTTCGAAACCTAATCACTGTGTTATACGAGGGTTATCTTAACATAAAATGCCTCGATCTCGATTCCATCAATTTTTGTTAAATATCCTATTTAATATCACGAACTTTAACAATAAAAAATTTATTATACATTTTCAACTAAGACGTAAGAATGCGTTAAATTATAGATAGTTTCATGGTGCATTCAAAGTAGTTTTACGCGCGTAGAAATAGAACGCCCCCCGTGTTCGAACATTTAATCTGGCGTTGTTGAATCAACCAGCCGTGCCTTCCTCGTATTTCTGTTTCTATCGCGAAACGATATTGCTGGCGCGTAGCCAATTATTGCTTCAGACAATACGAAGAGGATTCGCGTGCGAACATCCGGCGTTGTCGGACCATCCATGGAATCGACGACCCCTCGTTAAAATTAACTTGTCTTAACGGACGAACGGCAAGTCGTGGTGCTGATAATCTGGAGGATAGGCGGATGGCCACAGTCGGAAATAGAGGGTTACGTGTGTCCTGAAGTGGTCGTAATTAATTACGCTAATAAGGACGAGCTCTGGCGGTCTGCAGGCCGTTCGACTACTGATTTACCCATCACTCGGCGTTATCTGCCAGCCATTAAGCAGATCCCTTGTTCATGTAGGTCAAGTGTTGGGAATAATCGGTAATCAAGATGGCGGTGCACGTAACGTAAGGGTCACATTTTTAATCGTAAATATTTATACCTAAAAGGAGAGACGAAATTCTTTTAATGCGGTAGTCAGTCGAAATAACGATTAAAATCATATTAATTCGGTGTATACGTTCGTTGCTAAAAAGAAGTTCTATGCACAGCCAATACCGCCGCCATATTTGTTAGAATAATCAAGAGTTGGGAATGGTAACCATCTTCAAATACAAAATACGAAGACAAATGTGAACGTATTTGTAATGTTTTAAAATGAAAATATGCGTTTTCATATTTTCCTATCTGAGAATGAACGTTAGTAACGAATGAATTGTGTTTGTTTTTAGTGGGCGAGGGAAGCAAAAGAGGCCGAACGTCTGGATAAGATGCTGAAGATCGAAAACGAGGAAAACGCAGCTGCAAACAATCTAGCGCTGGCGATTCAGAGTCGAAACGAGGCTCGAGCGAGTCAATCCGACAAATTCTTCGATGCTCTGATCGATAAATACGCGAAAATGGCAGAGAAGCCAACGAGAAAGAAATCTTCGCCCGCGAGAGCCACGAAAATTACGAAACCCACGAAGAAAATCAAAAAGAAGGCGTAGACTAGTTGAATTTATACAAGAACCCTCCCTCCACACCGTAATATTCGCGCGATCTTTTGTAACTTAATTATTAATTATTGTTAAACGCGTTTGCTACATACTAGTTTCTATGTGAAACTCGTCGTAATTATCTTTTATAAATTCATCAAGTAAGCGAATGAATAGTGAAATTCCTTTGTATTTACGTGTAGGTATCATCGCATTCAAATATAATAAATTGGATACACAATTTTTTTCAATTTAATGTGTGCATGTGGAAAATTCCTGACACGTTTTAGTAACACATTTCATAGAAAAAAAAATAATAATTTGTGTTCGTTAATAAGAACTCATCCATGTTTGAAATGCTCTGTTTCAGACCAACAATTGGTATATAGACATTCTTCCTTGCCATTCCATGATATTCCTTGCCGTTCACCATGAATCTTTATTTTATCTACTTGTGTTGAACTAGGGATGGTAGCACAGACGAGATATAAGAATAGACCTAACATCTTATGGGATCTCGTCTGTGATGGAAGCTCGTTTATTGTAGCGTTCGTGATTTCAATTGTTCGTTATTAGTTCCCTAAACAGACAAACTTATAACAATGTCTACGTTAGTCATAACCTCTCTGGGCATAAGAATGATAAATATCTTTAAGCTGTAAAAAGCTAAAAATTAATATGTAGTTTATTAATGAGATGAGTACCTATTTAAAAAAATTGTGTCTAGGGTGTGATAATACATAACTTATTAAAATAGTACAAAGTAAAACTAAACCAATAATAGAGTTTCAAATGATTATTCCTATAAATATTACATACCTATATGAAATAATTAAAAAACTCAATCTGTATACAATTGTACAACTTTATGTAGGAATCCTAATACGCACAATCAATTACCTTTTGGCAATTGGTGAATCTTTATACATATATAACTTCATTCACACATCATTCATTTACAATAATTTTATTTATTGCGAGTAAGTAAATAATAAAATTCGATTCAACAAGAGCTCTACTAGCCAATCTTCTACAGGATATTACTTCAGCTTTATTTCAATTGTAAGGTATGAATTTATTAAAATAGTCGAATATATACGCGACTCCTTGCACTTTATTATTCAGCTTCACGTATTCATATAATTAACAAACAATGTAATATTTATACCAATCACATTTTCGGTGAGGGTTGTTAAACATTCTATCACTTCTTTTGTAATGCAAACTGTAATTGGTTATAACAAATATATAAAACTCGAGGTATTTAGAAATTTGTAAGAAATGAATCGTTTTATGAACTTCTATATGGAATAAATTTTACTTCATTGCAAATTATTAGACAATGACTACGTGTTAATGTTCGTGGTGGTTGTTAACTAAAAATTATTTAATTTAAATATACCTTGGTATAGTTTTGCGCGAGAAATTCGTAGAAATGTTTATATTTTTACATAGATTCTTCAATGAGTTTGTTAAGTGTTACATTCGACTTTTAAACTGGAGTAGTGCACATGTTTTTTCCCGCCAAATCGATTAGGCGGGAAACTACCGCTCTGATCTGACCAATCAGCTACTCGCAATCCCCCGAAGATAGCCGAATGAACTGCTCGAGACCGGCCGAGTGTAACCGAAGTGTCATTCGTCTCGGAGAAGTTGACGTACTAAGACGTAGAAGCCGTTTGCTCGTGCTAAAGTGAGTGTTTGACATTTACTTTTCATGTTTATTCATATATATTAATTACTAGTATCTTCATTAGCTCTCTATCGTTACTGTCCCTTAATATTTATTTAATATAGACTAAATAATCCCAAATTAATTCGATACCGTAGGTATCGCTTTACTTTTCGGTTTCACTGTGTACCAATTAATATAATGTTTACGTATTTCTGACTCAATTTGAAATCTTTGCGACACACCACGAGTTCAATAATTATTCATTTGTAACGTAACGATTCTTAACGTTGTGTAATACTTAAAATGCATGTTTATTTTCTGTTTCAGAGTTTCGGCTTGAAAGTATGCACTACCGTCCTGAGTATCGTTGAGTCCTTTCAAACGGAATTCGGCGGGAAATTGGTGAATTCTGGTAAGTTATTGTAACATTTATTATAACATTTATTATAACAACAAAGTGACATTTCATTACTTATTTTTATATTGTTTTTAACCGTAAGTGAAATAATCGTGATTTCGTGGTTTGTGTTACGATCAAATGAGAATTTTTTCGAGCACTTTTTTCAATTCATATATTTAGTTGAAGCATTCAAAATGGCTTCCTTGAA